ACAGCCCTGTGAGGACTACATTAAGAGTCAGGGAACTCTTAAAAACTTCATGAAACCCCAGTGCCTTTCTCACCTTTCAGGAGACAGCCCATCTCTTGGATCCCTCCTGGGAGGTACTTTCTCCCTCCTCCTTCTTCTTCTAATGTTCATTTGCATACTTTGCAAATAAAACTTATTTTCTACCTGCAACTGATTCTCAGATTTTTATTTCTACTTTAGGGTTTGGGAAGAACCTAGCAAGTTTTTCCTGTAACAAAATGTACTTGACCCTGACTTTGGTAATGAGTTGAAATATACAACACTAAAAACAAACTCCAAAAAGAAAGAGAGACCCTCATATAACTTCACAGTATCCAATTTTCTGCTCTGGAACAGATTATGTATAAAGAACAAATAAATAAACCACATACTGGGATAAAATGTTGACAAAAAACACATCTGAAAAAGCACGTATATTCAAAACATATAAACAATTCCAAAAAATCAATAACAATTAACAACTCAACTAAAAATGGGCAAATATATTGACACCTGGCCAGTGAAATACTAAAATGTCAAATAATTATATACTTGGATGTCTACATTGTATATCATCAGGTAACTGCAAAATAAAACAATGAGGAGACAGACAACACACAAGACCATAGAAGAACAAGAACAAACAGCAGTTGCCGGACAATGAAGAACAACAGGAAGCCTCACTCACCGCTGACAGATTGCGTAATGGCACAGCTGCTGGGTAGGCAGCTAGAATTCAGCCCATGTGCGCAAGAGGGGATCAATCCCAACAAGGCACCTTGGAAAGGGCAGGAATGCAGCAGTTAACCTTGGAAGCTGCTTGTCATTTTGCAATACAAAGTCATTTGACAGGCACTTCCAGCCTCCCTCCCAAGGAAAGCTTCCCAAGAGAATCCTCTGTGCTCAGCACCAAACTGGTAACTAGCCTGAGGACACTGGACAATAAACCTGTCACAGCTCTTCCCCAACCTCAAGGAAGGCATCCTGGGGAGATTTGTGCTGTACAGTGCCAGAGGGGCGCAGTAAATCCTTGGAAAGAATTTCACCTATCTAGCATTCAGCAAACTCTTTAAAAAACAAACAGGCAAGCAAAAGGAGAAAATGTGGGGGAGAACTGGACATTACTTTGAACATCCCAGTTTAAACATACTGGATACTCAGACTCCACCCATTACACCTTGCTGTGGTGCTTACCGCTCCTGCCTGTCTGAATTCTTTCTTGCACAAAGGCAAGAATGTATTTCATTCATCTCAAGTCCCAGCTGTTCCATTTCTGATCCAGCTGTCTGCTAATGGCCTAGAAAAGCAGCAGAAGATGGCCCAAGTCCCTGGACTCTTCCACCCATGTGGGAGACCTGGAAGAAGCTCCTGGCTTCAGACCGGCCCAAATCTGGTTGACCCAGTCATGTGGGAAAATACATCTGACTCTCTTTGTTTCTCTGAAACTATGCTTTTCCAATAAAAAACCGTACATTAAAAAATAATTTTTTAAATACTTTAAAAGGAGTCATGAAGAAATGGCTTACACTATGCTTAGGACAATAAATGCATGCGGAACATAATTGCAAAGTAACGGATTGGAGATAAGAATTAAAGAATGTACCAAGAAAACAGGAGCAGCATAAGAGCGCTCAGTAACAAAAGAAAGTGTTGTAGAATTAGTTCCTAACTCAAAACTTAAAGTCATTTTCCAGGTGGCCATGTGGTCAGTAATCCGATGGAACTTTCAGGCTAGGAGGTGTTTTTGACTGTGTGGCAAGGCCTGACAGAATGTCTCTCTAATCACCTCATGCTGCCTCACCCCATTGTATGGATACTTGATCACCTCTCTGATCTTTCATGGAATTCTCCTGAGGGTGGTGGTGTTTTTCTGCAAATGTGAAATGATTTCTCTAACTGGCATAACACCTGAAACTGATTTTATCAAACACACTATGGTAAACATCTTATTATGTGCCCACCTTCATTCTGGAATTTACCCTAAGATGCATTTCCCAAACACCTTATTATGTGCCCATCTTTGTTCTGGAACTTACCCTAAAATATGTAATGTTTTCCTTAAGAAATGACTTAGTAATATTTTGGAAATAGATGGAAATCATGGAGGTACCTAAGAATTTTTTTACCACACAGCTTCGAACTAGTGCATTACACAAAATGACACATTTTGGCTTCCCATCATGTAAAGCAGAAAGTATATGGGACAACTTCTAAAGGGACACAAATGCTGTGAGTCCCTAGAAGGAAATGGTTTGAAACTTACACCTTATATTGGCACTTATATTTAGGGAAAGAAAATAGTTTTAAAAGATAAAAATAAGTTTCTTGTGAGATACCTCTGTTCATAGTTAGGGTGAGCTGCCCTGATCCGTTTCACTGCCCTTCAACTAAAGAAAAGAAAAAAACAATTGAATCAGTACTAGGTGAAGGTGATGGCAGTTAGTGTATGGTTGATTATAAAATTTAATAAGGAATCTATGATATATGCCTTTATAAATTCCTTCTATTTATAGATTTTCTTTTTGATTTTGTATTCTTGATATTTTAAGTAATATTAGTTTATGTTAGTGAAAACTGATTTTGGATTTAAATAAACCATCTGTCTCTATGTTACAACACTTGCTGCCAACTGTGGAGTTCCTGGTTTCAGCTAGATGACCACAGCTTTGAATGAGTAATGGCTTGCTGAAAATGTTTTTTTTTTTTTGAAGTAAAATTATAATAATGTTTTTAGGGTTCTTTTTATATTCTTTTGACCATGAAGCAAAAATGAAGCAATTGGATGTTGTGCAAAAGCTTGTGATGATTTCTGTATAAATAAAGAAGGCAACTTTTCTGAGTTGTCCAGTATGAACATCATGTTGTAATGGTCCACATCTCTTCTTGTCTTCTTGCCCACTGATTCACACAGCCTTCTTGTCTCCAGCATTGCTCATCTAAGGAATAACCCCAATGTTGCTACGGAAAACACCACATAAATTCCAACAGGGAACATTCCAGAAAATGCAGGACTAGCCTCCTCAGCACTGTCACTATTATCAGAACAAGTAAAGTGCCCAGCCAGAAAGAGCCTTGAAAGACTGGGTGACTAAATGTGTGGGATCCTAACAGGAAAGTGAGAAATAGGAGAATGAGAACAAAATGTGTGCTCCATGTAATAACAACATAGCAACATTTGGTCATTAATTGTGAGGAAGGATGTTAAGATGTTAGATCACTTGATACACATGATACATGTTAATAACAGGAAACTGCTGGCCTAACTGTGAGATCTGTCACTATAGTCATGATTTGTGTGGAAAACTCAAACAAAACTAAAATCAACACTTATTATAAAGCAGTTACTTTTTCCAAACATCTTCTTACATTGAAATAAAACAAACAAACAAAAAATAGAGACAAACCTAGAACACCACTTGAAGGCCTTCCTCTGGCTGCTCTCACAGTCAACCTAATGGACAGGAACTCCACTTGTGCTCCTGCTTACTGACAAAATGGAAGAGCTAACATAGTTTACCCAACGTAAAACACCGGTGAGGGTAAGACGCTCACTATATTGGGTTCCTTTGCAAAAAATAATCAAGCGATTAGACTGAACACAGTAACAAAAATACTGAGTTTGCAATTACTAGGACATGAAACAAAATTTAACTTGGAGGCACCTCTTTAAATTGAATCTTTGGAAATATTTAAAAACTGATTCCAGACGATCACAAACAGCATCCTGCACAGATTCATCCGGAAAAGCTGCGATTCATTCAGTGAGGAATACCACGAGCGGGTTACATACGTTGACTCAAGTTCTTCTGGAATAACATGAAAATTTACAATTAAAATCAAGTGTTGCGTTATAATAATCCATCTTCACTGCTGTCCAGTTCTTTAAAACTGTGAAAACCAGAGCACAAGAACCCAAGTAAGCACAGGGTATGGCACACACTAAATGGCCCTAACCCCTTTCTGAGGTTCAGAGAAACATCCCGTCCTGCCACAATCTTCCCAGGATCCCGAGGTGGGGTCTCCATGCTTCTCCATCTACTTTCTTGTTCCAAGATATGGGAACACCTAGGCATGCTCTAGGGACATATGGGAACACCTCAGCTTGCTTTGGGGACACACAGGAACACCTCAGCCTGCTGTAAGAACACCTCGGCCTTCTGTGGGGACATAGGAACACTTAGGCATGCTTTGGGGACATATAAGAACACCTATTCCTAGAACCCATGTGGCAGTCTGAGCTTTTACATTGTTCTGAATGGACTGGAATAACAGAGGCGAAGTAGATGACCTGTATTCCAAGTAAAGAGATGGATTCGTCTGGGCCTCACATTTACTTGGCCAGGCCTTAGCACCCCTCTGATTACTCTTCAGCCCTCTCAGTTTCCGTCTGCCTCTTTATGGGACACTCCCTTCCGGGGGACTTTTCCTAGCGCCTCTAATCATGATTATTGTATTTCTTTGTTTTGGAGCCTGCATATGCAACCTTCCGGTTAGACTTACTTCCTACAGGCTTGAAGCAATGAAACTCCAGGTGGCCATGCACATAACTCTTTAGATGGTCATTTGGGGAGTGAACAAGTGGCTAGAAGCCTTCTCTGTCTCTCCGTCTCTCTCATTCTGTCTTTGAAATAAAAAACAAATAACCCCCCTCCCAATCCTTAAAACATCACGGAACAAATGTCAGCACTTAGTGGGAGGTGCTGTGCCGGGTACCTTGGCCTATGTGGTCAGCCCTCCAGGCCCTGCAGGCAGCGAAGCTCCACCTCTTTCGGCCTCCCAGGGCCCCAGCCCGCAGGAGTCTCCGCAGCCCGTGGCCACCGCCCTCCTCCCGCTGCCCTCCTCCCGCTGCCCGCCCCCGGCCAGCCCTTGGGCTTCGCGGACGCGCGCGTCGGGCGCGCACGGGCGGGGGCGGAGCTCGGCGAGGCTGCGGGATCTCCCACTCGCTCCCGCCGGCGCCGGCCGCCCGGGGTGGACGCGGAGCCATGGGCCGCCTGCGCCGGAGGACCGCGGCGCTGCTGCTCGTGCTGCTGGCAGAGGTAGGGGGTTCGGGGGCGCCGCGGCCAGGGGCTTGCCGCACCAATCTGAGGCCACCCAGGAGACGTCGCCAGGGAGCCTGAGGCCGCGCCCGAGTGGCCGCAGCAGGTGTGGGAACCGTGGGGACTCCGGGAACCCAAGGTTCCAGCGTTCCCGCTCCTCCCCGGGTAGCCTCGGGACTGGTCTTGCGGTCCCAGAGCCGGGCAGGGCCGGCCTGGGGGTGGTGCGGACGCTTCAGGAGGGGCTGTTGGGGCGAGGGGTCCCTGTGGAGCTGCAGGCGCCCGCGGGAGGCCGGGCCCCACTGCGTTCGCGGAGGGGCAACCGCGCCTGATGCGCGCCCTCGCTGCCCGAACAGAAGGGTAGTGACTGCCGCGGGTCTGGCCAGGGCCTCTCTGGCCCGGGGGTTTCTCTCCAGCGATTTCTAGTGGAAATGCCTGCGTTCAGGGTCTTAGGGGGTCTCCCCGCAGGTGTCAGAGAAAGAACCGGGGGCGGCGGCGGAGCTCGCCTGTTGTCCTTGGAATTCCCGCAGCTGGGGGTACAGGTTCCGGGGGCTCCCCGCTCACACGCACCTGGTTGGTCCGGGTTGTTAAGTCCTTGGCTGTCACATCCCTTGAGTGATTCCGAGGAGGACTGGGGAGAGGTGAGCACTGCTGGCAGCAGAGGACAGGTGTGTGCTCTTCGACACACCCGGCTGGTCTCCATCCCCTAGGCCAGTGTCCTTGGAACACTCCTGCAGCCCAGGCTGGGGGTCTGTGTGGGTTTCCCAAGGCCCTGGGATTCAATTTTGAGCCAGCAGTGCGTGCTATGTGTCTAGGGACTCAGTTCGGAGCCAAGCAGTCGCTTTGTTACACAGGAATTCATTCTCAAATTGGGGATTTCAGATCGCATCTGTATGGTTGGAAGGAACTGAAAAGGCGGAATTGGCCAACTCGTGCTGATTTCAAAGGACTTGCTGGAGGACTGTTGTGCAGAAATGAAATTTTGTCCTAAACCTTTACATGACGTTTTGTATTTGGATTTTTAAAATTTTGAATTGCCAGCTCTGGATGTGTTTTATCAGACTGGTTTGGTCTGAAGTCCTGCCTCTGTCTTGCACAGCAGGCCAGGGTTCAGTACAGGAAGACAATGGACGGGGTGTTTGAATGATTTGCTGCTCCAGGCCAGGACGGCGTCTTTATGTCTGTTCTGCTGGAGTTGGTCTGTCAGTGAAGGATCAGTGATCACAAACCCGTGGCATGACAGGGCCTCTGGGAGTGGCTGTGCCACTCCTGCCCTCCCAGGGTGACACAGGAGGGTTTCTGTCCTGGGAAGGGGCCCTCAAGTGGAGAGGGGGTGGTCTCCTTCCCTCCTGACTTGTCCTCTGTGTATGGAAGTGTGCTTACCTGGTAGAGATACAACTGAGTGGTTTTCTTCAGCACATTCAAGGAGTGCTTGGCACTTCCCAAAGAATCACCGCTGCATCGTCTTACAGTGTCACCCTAGATGGGAAATGTGGTCTCCGTGCAGCTGAGTGTGAGGGTTTCAGAAGTAAGCCCAGGTCGCCAAGCTATAGACCAGTGCCTCACCCTGATGCCCGCTTTGCCTGCTACCTCAGCCTAGGCTGAGAACAGTGGGAAATGTACCCTTTGTTTATCCAAGGATGGAGGTGGAGTGGGGCATGCATGCACCTGGATGTAGGTCAAACAGCAGAGCTCAGTTGCCCGTCCTTAGAAGGATGCTGTGATTGAGAATTCAGACTGTGATGTTGTACACTGGACACCAGGCTTCAGTAGGATGTCCCAAAACCCTGGCTTGTCCCCATCCTGTATCCCAGCAAGGAGGAACAGGTAGCTGACAGCATTGTCTCTCCCAGGCCAGGAGAACTCCTTGAGTGCTCCTTACTGGATAAAAAATTTTTTCCTTTTAACACCAGATTTTCCAATTAGAGAGAGCCCCTGTTTTGCCTCTTTATTCCCCAAACACTCTGTACCAGGGGTTAGGTCCCAGGGACCCAGGTGAGCCACAAATGTGACAGAATCTGTGGGTAGACCACAGACTTTAGTGCTCATAAATTAGAGATCCCCAGAGCCCATTTCGGGAATTCAGAAGTTCCTTGAGTCTTTTCTGTCAACTGGCAGTGGTCCTACAGATGATCATCTCTGAAAAGTGAAGATACTGAGTTGTGTCCTGGCTGAAGTAAGGCCTGGTGGGCTTCGCTGGGCACAGCAGCACCTTAGTAAATCATCACGAAAAGGTTTCCTGCCCAACTGTGGTTGAGCCTGGAGAGTAACTAGGCCAGGAATGTGTGCCGCTGACTGGGGCTGTCCATCAGAGTGTATTGTTCTCAAGATACCCTCATATTTGAACCAGCTTTTATGAAAAGGGACCTGCCCTTGCCCAAGCCCAGAAATGTGTAGTGTGAAGTTTACTAATGCGGGTACTGCTGCTGTCCGCAGAGGGATTGCCTCTCAGCCTTTTGGCTAAGACCAAGTGTGCCCATAGAGGTGACAAAGGAGTGCATTGAAGGAACAGCCTTGCTGTCTTTGGACCCTTGCCTGGAACCAAGCTGCTAGCTTGGCAAAACTGCAGCCCTCCATGTAGTAGAAAAGATAGTGGTCGTCTCCTGGGGCACAAGGTGAACAACTTTACAAACTGTTGGCAATTAGATGAACGTAAGTATTTTTGTAATTGTCAATGGTTTCCAAGGACCACTAGCCTTCTGAAGTTGCCCTAACCCCATTTATCCTGTATAGGTCTGCATAACACAGAAAAGGCAGCACAGCCCTGGCCAAGCCCCAGCCCTGTCCGATACCTGGGCACAGACTCCTGCACTTCAGATCAACATCCATGCTACCAGATTCTGTCAGCAGGTGCCTTGGTGCAACTATAACTGCCAAGATTTACCCATCAGCACTCACTTTCTAGGAGCATCTAAAAGAAAACCTACAAGTTTTGTCTTATTCAAATACAAGTTACTCAGATGCTAAAAACTCCTCAGAGTGGGAGGGTTGAAAAGGTTTATTTCTGAAAACCCAGCAGCCAGGGACTAACACATGTGCTGGAATTCCATAGCATGAACATCATTTGGCAAGAGACAAAAAAAGCAAGTTTTAAGCATTATTTGTTCTAGTTTTGAGATTCTCAGTTATGAAAATTTTATGAAACTGTGGCTGAGATGTGACTGTCCCAACCAGGACCTGGTTCCGAGCTGGTTGATGTGCAGATGAGGTGATAGCAGCATGCAGGTCCCCTGCCAGGAGATTCCCATGGGATTTTAGCAGGGCTGCTGCTCACCCACCCAGGACTCTCAACATTGTTGATTGCTTTTGCATGAACCTAAATTGAGAACTGTGAACTGGTTATAACTGTTTTTCTTATAACTTTATCTGGCCTCCTTAAGCCTTTCAATATGTATGTTGGATCAGGTGAGAAAGACTCTTCTGAATGTTGTTGGGGTTAGAGAGAAAGAGGCCGGTGAAGCCCACAAGGCAGTAAAGACATGCATTTGTTGTGTACAAGTGAAGAGGCTTAAAAAGGACATGGGAAAATTGACTGAAAAGATAAAAATGTAAACTTTGTTTCTCAGCATAAGTTCTATTATGTGTTAGAGACTTAAGGGGTGGCACCAGCCATTTATACCATCCCTAGAGTACTGCCGGGCCTGAGAATTTAACGTCATTAACGCCATGTTTTCATATTAACCAAAGAAATTGCTTACTTTGTGTGTTTTAGACACACATACACACACATGTACATGCACACAGCTCCCATCTATTGGTTCATTCCCTCACATGTTTGTCAGGCCTGGAGCTGAAGGTTTCCCATGTGGGTAGCAGGAACCCTATTATACAAGACATCATATCTGCCCCGCAGGGTCTGCATTGGCAGGAAGTTGGAGTTGGAAGTGAGAGCTGGAAATCAAACCTAGATAATGTACTGTGGGATGTGCTCGGTTCAAGGGACAAGGAGTTGGATGACCAAGGGTTTCCTTTGAGGGGCAGAACAGGCAGGAGCATTTGTGATGCTGAAGGAGGACTCTGGGGGAAGTCTCCTGGGCATTTCTCTGTTAAGGCTGTGTGTTTGGCTCACTTTCTCAAAATACTTTCTTAATAGGCAGATAGCATCTTTGGGCCTGTGGAAATTTAGCAAGGAAAATACCTTGAGCATTCAGAAAATCTGTTGCTGTGATCTTTACTCTTGACTGATCAGTGCTTGCTTCGGCAAGGTCACTTCCACCTCTTGGCAGCTGCTGCATCATCTTTACAACACATGGATAAAGGATACAGGCATGTTTCCTCTTCTGTTCTCATTCTTTTTTCAAACAAACACCTTGGGGTAAAATTTCCATTGCAAGCAATATTTCTCTATAGCTGATCTACTCATATTGAGCAGAAAGTTTGTTTGCTTTAATTCTCACAGATAGGTAAACTGAACCAGTTGAGATGTCCATTGTGGTGGCTGTTTTTATGCTGTTGATCTTTGGTCCTCTTCAAGATTACTTTTTTCCCGCAAATTGATATGGCTGTTCATAACTGTGGGCTTCATGTTCAACATTATCTAATTCTTCTGAAAATGAGTTAGCTGTTTATTTGTTTTAGTTTTTCTTTTTTTTTTATTGGAAAGGCAGTTTTATGGAGAGAAGGAAAGACAGAAATATTTTTGTCCTTTGATATGCTTTCCAAATGGCTAGAGTGGCCAGAGCTGAGTCCGTCTCAAGTAAGAAGCTTCCTCCAGGCCTCCCACAGGAGTGCAGGGTCCCACAGCTTTGGGCTATCCTCTGCTGATTTCCCAAGCCACAGTCAGGGAGCTGGATGGGAAGTGGAGCAACTGGCACATGAACTGTTGCCCACATGGGATCTTGGCACTTGCAAGGAAAGGATTAGCCAATTGAGCCATCATGCCAGGCCTGAGCTAGCTGTTTGCAAACTTGTGATTTCTCTGGGACATTCCCTCACAAACCTTTTATAAAACATCAGTGATTTTCCCAATCTTCCACCCAAAGTCCAGCATGACTTTGATGTTT